TTTCACATCTTATCAAAAATAACCCCAAACTTTATAACCATTAGCACCCGATTATAACAATGATGGTGTTTTTTTTGGGGGGGGGGGGGAGTGGTTCCTTAAATTATATTTTAATGTTACATAATATTAATATATTTATTTAATTTTCAATAAGAAAATGAGTAAATAAAATATAGAAAGACCAAAAGACTTATTATTTAATAGCATCTCTAACAAATTCTCTAAAATAAAGAAATTGGAGATTTTGGTCCAATTTTTGTCCAACAAATTATTCTAAATTTTCTCTAAAATAGAGAGAAAATGAGAGTGAAATTCTTCAAATTTGGAGAAATCCTAAAACATGATACCATGAAAGAGAAGTAGTTTTTTTTTTTTTTACTATATTCCACTAATAAAAGCCCCGTGGTCACGGAGGTTCAAATGCACCGACTCCGGGCTACCCACAAAGCGGGTGGTCGTTCTGGGGTTAGTCAAAAATATATATTTTATTACCTATACATAATATATTTAAATAATATAATTAATATTGTAATATCAAATATAGAGAATTTGTTGGAGTTAAATGTAGATCTTTTTGGAGATTTTAAGCTTTGATTATTCATTTAAAGAAATTTTAAACAATCTTTTGGAGATGTTTTGACACAGGTTTTTAATAGATGTTATTTTAAGGGACCAAATTTGTAGTGAAATATATACTCTGGTAACCAAAAATGTAATTAATTCTTTTTAGAGACCCCGATATCTAGATTTTTTTTTTCATACCACAATGACTAAAACCGTAATTTACTCTATTTATAATAAACAAAATCAATAGACAGATCAAGAAAGCCACATCCGCGATTTTTATAATTTAAAACACAAACCAAATCGACATATTTTAATATAAATAAATGAAAAACGTCGTCTTCAAGGGTTGTTTGTATATTTTTACCTATTAAAACTTGTTTGGAATGTGACAGACGAACATGAAACACGGTGGCTTATTCCGTTCAACCATTGCTTAAAAATAACCCAAACAAACATTGTTTAATGATTAAACGAATAAGCCATTTAACAAAATAAAAATTATAATAGCTAAAAAATTACTTATTATAATTAAAAAACAATAATTAAAAATTATAA